AGCTCAGGAGGCATCGGGTGAGAGATAGCGGCATCAGTGTTTTAAGGTGGAACCGTGAGACTCTGTTCTGGTCTCAAGATCATAAAACCAATTATGTCCCTCTGTGGACTTCCCAGGGCTTCAGTTTCTTCATCTGAAGACTAAAAGTTTTGCCCTCAGTGGTCTCAAAAGGGTTTTCTTTTTCCAAAGAACTTGGAATTCAAGACATGTGGAAAAATCTTTGAGGCCACGGAGCAGCCATGGCCAATATGAAAAAGATGAACCTGGCTGTGCTCCAAGAGAAATTTCCAGAAACAGTTGGAAAGTCAGACTTGGCCCACAGACCATAACTTACTGACCCTTAGACTAGACCCTAGTCTACTTCAGGAGATCTCTGGAAGTGAAGTAAATATGTGAGGAATGGAACTACAAACATCATCACCAGCCCAACTTGAGTGCTCTGATCCCCTCCCAGACACACACCAAGCCTTGGAGTGATTCATTTTCCCCTTCAAGGCTGCCACTGGTGCTCACTTCTTTAAGAATTTATCCACGTGCTCATGTGCAGGCAAGATGGAGAAGCACATGGTGTGATTGCATTTCTGAGCCACCTCCACATACTTCTGGGCATCATGGCATCCTTCACTGGGCTGGGAGCCTCTGCAGTGCACCTTGAAAGTGTGGGGGGGAGCCTTTCACTCCTCTCATCCACCCTTCATCTGAGACATGTCTGCCTGGGGAGAAGGGGAGGGGCTCTTTCTTTGCATGACGCCATAGAGGACAACCTCGCCCCTTCCAGGGCCCCCAAAGAGAAAGAGCTCAGTGAGTGCTGTCGGGAGAAGACCATGCTTGCCCAGAACATAAACTGATAATAAAAAGCAAAAGGAAAAGGATGTGGGCAGCTCTACCTAGGCCAGTTGGGAGAGAAGAATGAGGAGGAGCACATTGGAGAGCTTCTCCTGGTCTCATCTGTCACAGATGAGGGAGATTTCAATTTCTGAAGCTGGAGGGCCCTGCCTGGAAAAGGAGTCTTCCCACCACATTGACTACATTTTCTGGAGCCAGAGAACTTGCTTCAATACAGAGAGAGACCGACGCAGTGTGGACACAGTACGTCAGCTAACAGGACAATTTGTCAGAAACGAACATCCGCAGACTCTGAGGATTCCAGCCTTGGGAATGGTGCTGCACCGCTGACTAGCTTCCTCATCTTATTTGAGTTTCTAACCATTTATGTCAGTTTGTCAGAATGTTCAGGTGTTTCACTGTTTTCATCCCTTTTGCTCTCTGATGTCTCATTAATTAGCAGTCAGTCATTCCTGTGCTAAGTGTAATAACAGCAAAGTATTTAGAAGAATACGAACCAAATATACAATAAGAGAAAAAGCTATGGATAAATCATCATTGGTCACAAAACAGAACACACACCATAATGTCACTTTTATTTAAATATAATAATATACACAGAACAGGGTCCAAAGGCTACACAAGAAACAGTAGTTCTCAGAAGGGCTGAGTTGCAGGTGCTTCTGAGAGTTCTCTGTTAGTCTCTCGCTTTGGATTTGTTCCTATATTGAGCATGAATTGCTTTTGTAATAAGAAAAACATTAAGGACTAAAGCAGGAAAAAGAAAAATAAAAAGAAGGATCTGAAATTTATTCAGAATGTGTTAAATTTTTCAAAATAATTTTGGTCAGCTCTGCCTACTCTGGCAGCATTTTCATATATTTTTTAATTGGAAAAAAACGTTTCAAGTACTCCATCCACAGCACTTTCTCCAGGGAAACTGTACTTAGAATTTACCAACTTCTATAATATGTTTCCTAAATGTCATGTGGCTAGACATGCAGGTGTCTCAGACGAGTGGAAGGAGAAATGGACTGAAGGTGAAGCAGACACAGAAAGCCAACAGGCAGGGGGTCCTCGGGGCTGGGAGAATCCTGAGCGGGGAGAGCACCCAGGAGAGAGAAGAGAGCCTGGGCTTCCCTGGGGAGTGAGAGGCATCCAGCCCTGTGTGGATACAAGTCTAAGGGGAGCAGGAGCAGAGGGGGATGAGCCGCGGAGAAGGCTCTGTCCTAAAATGTGATGTCTGTGTGCTGCTGTGCTAGGGCTTTGACGGCCACACCTTTGGTGACTCTCTGATGTTGCGGCTCCCCTTCAGCACCGGCTATTCGTGTTGACAAAGGCCCATATTGCCCTCCCTGCTCCCCATCTGCTTGACTATCACCAGCAGTAACCACGGCCTCTCAGCATCATCTGCTCTCTGGAATGGCCTGGGACACAAAACCTTTCTCCAAAACCACATCCATTGATGCCTTAAGATATCAGGAATTTACTTCCCTTCAGGCTCATTTGCTTGCAGCATACTTTTCAGCATGGGCAGGCTCATTCCATCTTAAATTCTAAACTCATGGGTCAGGGGAATTCACTCCTCCTTTCCGTGGATTTCCACATTACAGATGTGCGCAGGGTGTTTGTCCTGGCCTTCAAGTTGGGAGAGGCTGGATCAGACTCGGAGTGAAGACAAGAAAAATGTTTCTTTAGGCTTTATTGTAAACGGCAGCAGGTTTGAAGTCAAAGGACAATAGTCAATGGTGACGTGATACAGTAAACAAAAAAAGAAAGGCAAAAAGAAAGTTATTTTGTTCTAAATTGTTCCATAGAAACACATTAAAAAATCTACAATCATTTCCCAGAATGTCAGTAGAATTTTCTAGAAATACTTCTCCTGGAAAGAAACCTAGGAAAAGGATGCTGGGGGGCAAGTCACCCTGTGTTCTAGGCTGAGCAGTGAGCGGGTCCGATGAGTCCTTGTCCAACGCAGACAAATGGGCTCCCAGGCATGTTCTGGTTCACGGTCAATGCTGAGCTTCACCTGTTCCACTGGGGACTGGACGGTGATTCATGAAACTTTCCATCTCTTTCTAGATTTCCCAAGCAAGCAAGAAATCTCTGGGCTGCAGAAGGATGAAGAGAGGCTGAAAAAGAAGATTTTATTCAACAGGCGGCAGCCCTGTGGCTGAGTGGTTAGGTTCACGTTCAGTTTCTGTGGCTGAGGGTTTGGCCGGTTTGGATCCCGGGCACCTCACTAGCATTGCTCATCAAGCCACGCAGAGGCAGCATCCCACATAGCACAACCAGAAGGTCCTACTGCTAGAAGATACAGCTATGTACTGGTGGGCTTTGAGGAGAAGAAGGAAAAAAAGATTGGCAACAGATGCTAGCTCAGGGCCAATCTCTAAAAAAATAAAATTCTTGAATAAATAAGGACACTGGGTGATCAAGCACAGGAGAGAATCCACACAGAAAGCTTAAAACTGGAACCAAGCTTTCCCAAATTGCCCCGCCATCACCTCTACAGATTGAGAGAGAAAACGCCAGTGGGATGCAGATTGGGAGGGAATAGAGGGACTCCATATGCCAAGCTCAGGGAGGTTCCATGAAGAACAGGCAGGCAGGGGGAATAGAGAAGGTATTAAACCTGCTGCTGCAGGGCCCCAGGCAGAGGAGGGCTGCACAGTGAAAGCTGAACTCATTGAAGCGGGTAGTTCAGTCCAAGGTCATCCAGTTCGTTTGCTAATTCACATGGGTGTTGCAGATGTGTTTTTAGCACTTGCTTTACACCAAGTACTATCTTAAGTGCTCGGATGTATCATTTGGTGTGATCGTGTGATGGTTATAGAATCATAAAATGACAATAAGATCATTTCTGAAGCTTTCACCATGTGCTGGGCATTTCTCTAAGCATTTTGCATGGCTTTATCATTTTATCCTCACAACTACCCAATGAAGACAAAGAAACTGAGGGGCAGAAAGGAAGTTTCCCAGATGCACACACACACAGGACATAAAGGCCTGAGGCAGATGAGCTCCCTGCCCTCAGGGCCCTCCCTCAGAGAGTGGGGAAAGAATACACACAAGATGCAGGCCAGGCTAATGACCTTCCTAACATTTTGCTGACATTTTCTATCAATTCTGATTCCTGACGTTTCCTGTCATATTTAGGAAGAATGAATTGTCTTCCTTCCATCCTTACTTCCATTGTGTCTGTATGTTGATTATTCTATTGGTATATCCTTCCAGTGGTAAACATCACATCTTTTAAACATATACTTAAATGAGTATTTCCCTGTGAATAGTAAGAGTTAGTCATGATCCGTGATCCCCATCTTCTCTTCTTTCTTGATCAATTCCAAAGTCTTGCTGAATTTCCTGGGAATATTGATTCCAGATAGCAATTCATGTTTTTCTTTAATTTTCCTTTGTTTACTAATCTTTTCTTAACAACAGCCTTAAGATATATAGCCTTATCAAGGATTCATGGGAAATTAATAAACTTAGACTAATAATAAGTTCTACTGAGTCTTTGTTCATTCAACTCTGCTTCTTTAGTCTCATATCACCTCACTTCGATCCTCCATTTAATTGATTTGAGTGCATCCTTGAGCAATATTTTCCCAAATGGATTCATGCATAGAAATTTCCTGAGTCTGGAACATCCAAAAGCAGACCATTTGTCCCTATAAATGATATTATATATTACCTCAGCACAGAATTCTACATTCAAGTGATTTTCCCTCAGAAGTGTGAAAATGCAATCTAGTATCCAGTGTGGCAAGTGAGAAATCCTGTACATGTCTGATTATTGCCCTTCGTTAGCCACTATTTTAGAAGTTTTTACCTGCATCTCTTGACGTCTGAGATGCCCTATAACGCATGTGCACGCATTTTACTGGTAAATATTCAGGCAGATGAGAAATAAGGAAGGTTATCACGTTCCTATCAGGCATTAGTCATGACAGATGAAAAACAAACATGGACAGCAGATAATAGAGGCATCATGGGGCAGGAGGGGAAGGCAACTAGATCAAAAGGACATCAAAGTTACTCTGGGCCAACAAGAGGATCTTTGACCACCCCACCTTCGCCTAGTCACACTTGCAAGACAAGACCTTCTTTCTGCCAATCTTTCCCCTATAAATACAGGCTGACTCTGGGCTCCCCATTCACTCAGGCTCCTGCTCTCCCATCTGGACCCTGTCCTCCAGGTGACTCACAGCCATGAGGACCCTCGCCCTCCTCGCTGCCCTTCTTCTCTTGGCCCTCCATGCCCAGGCTCAGCCCCTGGGAGAGAAAGATGACCAGGTTCCTGCTCAGGACCAGCCTGGGGCCGACATCCAGGGGATGACCATCTCCATTGAGGGAGATGAGCGTTCCACTCGAGATGCTTCAGGTGAGAGACCAACCAGTTTCCTGTTAGGATCTGCAGGCCAATTAGAGGGACTTGTCAGTGCATGGAGGCTGGGCTCAAATTGGGTATGTGGATGAGGTCGGGTGAGGAGTTAGTAACCCTACGTTTGAGAGGTGGACTGTTGAGGGGGTATGTACATGACAGAGTAGGATCAGAGAAAAAATTAGGAACGTGCATGACCAACACGTAGTCAGTAAGATTTCTCGTGAGCTGCGACAGGAAGGTGAATTCTCTCCACCCTAACATGACTGGTTTGGTCTACTGTAAGAAGACATCGTGCCTCTTTACATATCCCCTTGAGGCTGGCTCTGCCTCTTTGCCCTCCCTCCTTCCCCCTGTGCCTGACCCTCCTCTTCCTTCCACAGGCTCTGGGTCGGTTCTTATCTGCCACTGCAGCTTCTCCTGCAGAAGTCCTTATAAGAAAATTGGGTACTGTCACCTTGGCCGCTTGCATTTTTGCTGTCGTCGTGGCTGAGCTTTGTGGATTGAGACCCAAAGCAGCAAAGGATTCTATTTCAAGACCTGGAAAAGGGTTCATTCTTTGTACCTTCTGCTTTTTCTTAATTCTCTCTCCAAAATAAACTTCAAGCATTGAATGCAGTGTGTTTGTCAATTTCTTCTCTTTTTTTTTTTTCTTTTTTGGCTTTTCATGTAGCTTGTTTATAGCTGCGGTAGACGTGTACAGAGAAATCTGTCCAGAATGGTATCATTAAGTTAATTGGACTTTGTCTCCCAGTGGTGCAAAATTTGAGAATTATACGGCAACAACAAAAACAGAAAAAATAAAATTGATTATTAACTACAACAGTGTTAATCTATAAAACTCTATCTATTCATAATGACCCTCCAATGAGAAATCTGATTGTAAAGTGTAAGAGAAGGTGGTGTTGACTCAAAGGAAAAGTGGATCCAATGGGCTTGTTTACTTGTTCCTTAGATTGAGAGCCGGGAGAGCATTGATATACAGGATATTTTCTTATTTTAAGAATATATGTTAAGTACAGATATATGTTTTTTTCTAACTGTGTCAACAAAACAGAGTAAACTAAAGCTTCAGTGAGCCACAAACAAGAAAAGAGTAAGAAGTGTGCCAAAAATGTAAAATATTGATCAGCAGCAGTATCCTCAGTTAATGCCCAGAAATAAGGGGAGTCCAGAAACTGGTCAGTAGAGGTGGTCTTGCCCAATGACCAGTGAAATAACTGGTCCCCCTTGGAATATCAAAAGGTAAATTAGGCCAGTATCCAATGAAGGAGTTGGTCTCAACTCTCTATCACTTCAAAGACATTGAGTCTATTAATTATAATAAGCCCTACTAATTTTAATGAAATTCTAGCAAGAAATAGTGGGTTTGCAGTAATGCTAAAGAAGCAAGTCGATACATTATCATGGTGAGGCGATGACTCCTACGCTTACTGTCCTGCAAAAACTTAAAGAACACCTTATGTGTCAGAAAGGCAAGTCCCTAAACTCAAAATTTCTATAAAAGGCAGGGATTTAAGAGCAGCATGATACAACAAAAGAAATGATTTTTATTACAAAACATGTCTCATCCTGATAATAAGCAGTGGCTCAGGTTTGAATCAACATGGAGACACACTCAGCGCCTTTTCCTGATGGAGAGTCACCTGTTCGACACAAAGATCTGCAACCTCATTGAGCCTCCTCCTGGGTCTGGGAATATCTCAAAAACCCTGGGAGGGGCAATGTCAGAACAAAAGAGAAACAGAGGTAAATCCGTGAGATCAACACTTGTCTAACAGTTTTGGTGAAATCGATGAACAAGTTTGTGATCTGTGTTCTTGAGTATGTTTGTCTGTTTATGAAGGGTGGAAGTATCAAAAAGAAGAAGACATGCTAAAGGCATTAGTTCACTGTAGAATGGTTAAGATCACTTAAATTATCACACTGGTATCAATATGTATTACTCAAGAACTGGTTTTCCAAAGCACTGATTGAGCATTAAACTTAGTGCAAATAGTGGTGACATTTTTCTCTGTGCACAAAAGCCCTTCCAATATGGAAGAATCCATCAACACAGTGCTGACTGGCCCTGCTTCCTCTCCCCTGAGCTCTGTGGTCAGGGCTGTCCTCCCACCAGCTGATGGTGGGGACTGGGTTCTCTCCTTGTTTCACCAGAACAGGGATCCTTCTGATGTTGCTAAAACAACCTAAGGCTAGATCCAAAAGTCAAAAGTGAGTGTGATAGAAGAGAGTGAATGTTCTCATGCACCTACCTAGCGGGCAAGGCTCTCTGGCTGCAGCGACCAGAATGGGAGTGGAGATAGTCCAGGGTCTGGACACAGTGTATCTTTGGGAAGGTGAGGCCTCTCAGCTAAGTTTGTGTTCTGCGATCAGGTGGGAGAGCAGATTGAAAGGGGTCGGATTTTCTGAGTCCGACCTGGTTGCCTAAAAATTCTTTCGACGTTCCTTTATTTATCTGCCTAACCCATAGATCAAATCCACTATCTCTTTGGTCTCTACACTTACCTTTTTTTTCTTTTGTGTCTGGTTTCTTTTATTTAATATCACGTTTCTGAGAGTCTCCGTGTTGCTGCATATAACTTTAGTGCTTCCATTTTAAGAGCCATTGTAAGTTCAGGGCAAAATTCAGGAGAAGGAACAGAGTTCCCCACATACTCCCTAGCCCCAAAATTCATAGCCTCTCCCAATAACAACACGCCCCACCAGAGTGGTACCTTTGTTACAATCAATGAACCTACCTTGACTCATCATAATCACCCAAAGTCTAATGTTTACATTAGCGTTCATTCTCGGTGTTGGACACTGCATAAGTTTGGATAAATATATAGCCACATGTATGCATCATTATAGTATCATACAGAGTAGTTTCACTGCCCTAATAATTCTCTGTGTTCTGCCTATTCATCTGTCCCTCCCTCTCCCCATTTCCCAGCAACCTCTGATCTTTTTACTGTCTCCATAGTTTTGCCTTTTCCAGAAGGTCAATAGCTGGAAGCTAATAGTATGTAGACTTTTCAGATTGGCTTCTTTCACTTAGTGACATGCATTCACGGTTCCTCTATGTCTGTTCACTGTTTGCTAGCTCATTTCTTTTTAGTACTAAATGATATTCCATTGTCTGCATGTACCACAGTTTATTTATTCACCTATGAAGGTCATCTTGCTTGCTTCCAAGTTAGGCAATTATTAATAAAGTTGCTATACACATCTGTGCGCAAGTTTTTGTGTACATAAGTTTTCAACTCCTTTAGCTAAATATCAAAGAGCATGATTGCTGGATTGTATGGCTGGAGTATCTTTAGTTATGTAAGAGACTATCACACTGTCTTCCAAAGTGGCTGAACCATTCTGTATCCCCACCAGCAATGAATGAGAGTTCCTGGTGCTCCACATTCTTGCCTGCATTTGGTGTTGTGAATGTTCTGGATTTTTGCCATTCTAAGGCTTGACTGCACTTACTTTTAAAGTGTCATATTATCATATGAATTTTGGATAATCTGTCCAGCTCCTCATATGCCTTTATACAATCGTCAGCTACAATGAAGGGGTCTGTGAAGGGCTCTGCTGCTTCCCTCAGAGGGGCCGCAATATAAACACATCTAGGATTCTAGACAGACCCCTTCAGTGATCAGTATACCTTAAAGCTAAGATTCGCATCTCTCTTAGACTACTGGTCAGGGGACCTAAAGAAACTCCACGGAGCAGGATGCCGAGGTTTTGGGGGGAGAGTACGTGATTCTCAATTGCCCTGGATAAAACTCACAATAAGAAACAAAATGAATGTTTCCTTAGGCCCCAAGCTATTAAATTAAACACCAAGTCTTCAGCCAACAGGGCATCAGGCTATGCCGCCAAGACGGGCAAGAGATGTATTTTCCCCTTCAGACGATGGGGAGATTTCACAATAGTTAATAGAAATTCTTGGTTAGCAGGAACCACTGTCTCCATCCGCAGAGTCTGGGAGTGCTCCCCTTGAGGAGGACCCAATCACACACCTTTCTCTATAGCCTTCGGTTACATCGGTCCCACTGGAACTCTTTAATTAACATGGGGGTGATCATGTCCCCAGAGATGTGTTAAGTAGACCAAAAATCATATGATACTTACACAATGACAATTTCTATATTGTCATGTGGAAATGCAAAGTAAAAAGACAGTGGTGTAAGGTGTTATCAGAAAACAAAAGGAATTGGACTGATTTCATAAACAATTCATCGTGCAAACCCTCAAACAAACACTGGTACTTTCAATCACCTCAGTTTCTCTAAAGGTGCTGAAATTCACTTAACACCTCACACCATCTGGAAAACACACTTTCAGCCTCCAGTTTCCCGTCTGAGTCAATCTTCCTTTTCCATAAAATATGGCCTGCGTTTGCAGTTGCTTTTTTTCTTCAGCGTGCCTCCTGCCTTTGGGTCATTGCACATCCAAAGTGCTCTTGTCATTTCGCACTGCTCCATCTCCTCCTGTCCAATTCTGCATAATTTCTTTAAAAACTTGGTGGGCTTCCTGAGTATAAGTTATAATCCACCCTGTTAGACAAAAGTGAGCCCACACTTCTGTCAGAGACTGGCCCTTCTCTCCTGAGCTCAACGTTCAGGCGCTGGGAAGCCACTAAGATTCATGAAGTCTTATTTCTAGATGAAAAGCACCTTCTCTACCCACCATTTAATGTTTTCAAGGTTGCCACAAACATTCTTACAGCCATGGCCTTGAGATCTACCCTGAAATCACATTTTAATGGAAATAACTTTGATTTGATCTTTGCCCTGTGAACACTTCTTATTTTGAGGAATTTTATCTCAGAAGACTCAGGATAACAGTTTTATTTTTAAGCTTTTACTAACATGTCCACAAACCTCTCTCTGCTTCCACAACCAGGTCCCTTGATGGGGTGTCAGCATACTGCTCAGTCCCTAAAGTGATGCCACAGCATTGAGGCTGTTGGTACAGCAGCATCCCACTTCCAGGCACCAAGCTAACTACCCAGGAAATGATCAGGCTAAAACAGCAGCCATTCCATTGCTTGTCACAAAGTTGTAGGTTGGGAATTGGACAGGGCTGGACTGGGAGATTCTTCTGAATGACTACTATAGTCATTTGCAGCTGGGCTGGAGGGACAAAGATGGTGTCATTTGCATGCATGGCCCCAAGGCGGGCTGTTTGACCACAAAGCTTCTCTGGGTCCCTCTCCTTCATTAGTTTTGGGAGCTCTCATGTGGTTTCTAAAGGCATGTAGAATTCTGCCATGGCAACTCAGAAGACAGCAGAAGTTTCTGCTCCTCTTAATGGTCTTGGAGGACAGCGGTGGGAAGGCTAAGAAAACCTGGTCTCAGGGCGTGTTTGGGATTGATTGTGCTGCATGAAAAAGGAGGCATTTCACCATCCTGTGCTGAATGCAGACATGAATAGAAAAGCTGATCTTGTACAGACAAGAAGAGAAAGCACATGTAGTGAGAACAGAAATGAATGTATATTCATTTAATTGATTGGAGAAGGGAGTGAGAGATAAGGGAAAGTTACTACGGAAGAAAAATGATAAGGAAAGGAATTGTGAAGAAAGAAGACAGGGTAATTTTGCAAAACGTCACTTCCCATATTTGTTTATAAGTTCTG